TTGGAATCCAGTGATGAAGAGCAAACTAGACGGGCTGTATATTCACACAACATTTCTTGCTTAAATCACGTGACAGTCAGAAAAAAAGTGGTAATAAACCTCCTTTTCTTTTGCCTCTTTTCTTCTCTTCTCACTCCTGCTTTTATTTTTTTCTCAACCCATCTCAGGTCTCTTTGCCAACACAACATGAAAGCTAAGTGTCTGCCTGAGTCAGAAAAGGTGTGAGGCACAAAGATTTGGAAGAAGAAACAAAAAACACAAGAAGACAAGAAGAAAAAAGAACAGAGAGCTTTGGTAAACAAGTTCAAAAGAAGCTAAAAGGTAGAAGAGAAAGAGAGGTCAGAGAGGTGATGGAAGATGGAAGAGAACAGCGTGGTTGAAGTCTATGATTTGGGTGACCGCTTGACCCCACGAGGTGCTCGTTTTAGCCACAGCAACACGACTAAACAATCACATCTAATTTCTCCTGAAAGAGAGCAAGGCCACAGGTACGCTCTGACACACAAACAAAAAAGTGCCAATTTAAAGCATTTGTGTTTTTAGTAAAAGACTCTTCACATTAGGTTTTGAGCAGTACAGCTGAAGGAACAGAACACGTCAGATGTACTGAAAATCTCAAGACCGAAAAGAAAAACACCTGCAACGCTCCTGTGCCAGGTTGTGGAATGTACTCACTATCAAGTTCTCTGTGTGGTACTTAAAAGGTAATAAGATGCACCTGGGTGCTCAGCATTTTAGTGAGGAGAAAGGTGTAATGCAACTGAGATCAAATTTGAGAACAACTGTGACTCAAACATGCTAATAGCTCCAGGATAAATGCTCATATGGTGGTAACATAATCTGTAAAGTTAAAATAATAAGCTCTCTAATTAAGGTCAAACAGACTTTTATTGGATAAAAAATATCTAGTTTTCTGTTGGGAGTGATCGTATCACCTACCAGTGAAAATAGGAGGATCTGTGGTGGAAGTGGTCTCCAGCTACAAGTACTTGGGTGTGCACCTGAATGACAAACTCATCTGGAGCAACAACACCACCAGCCTGATCAAGAAAGCTCATCAGAGACTCTACTTCCTCAGACGGCTGAGACGAGCTGGTCTGGGAAGCTCAGTCCTCACCTCCTTCTACAGGTGTGCAGTGGAGAGCATCCTGTGCTCCAGCATCAACGTGTGGCATGGAGGCTGCACAGCTGCAGAAAGAAAAGCTTTGCAGAGAGTGGGGAAGGCTGCACAGAAGTCTGTTGGAGTCAGCCTCCCCACCATCACAGACATCTGCACCTCCAGATGTAGGAAGAGAGCCACCTGCATCATGAAGGACCCCATTCACCCAGCACACACACTTGTTGCCCCACTCCCCTCAGGAAGGAGGTTGAGGAGCATTAAGTGTAGAACCACTAGACTGAGGAACAGCTTCTACCCTGAAGCTGTTAGACTCATGAATCTCTAACCAGAATAATCACTGTGAAAAATCACATCATGTTGCTGCTGATCTGTTTCATGTTGCTGCTGATCTGTTTCATGTTGCTGTGTTCATTCATACTCATCTGCTCACACAGACTCATGTTTGTGCTGCTGTTCGGCGTATTGTTTTTATGCTTTGATAATTGGACGTTTTTCTTAGTTCAAAAAACACCTATTAAATGTAATTACGGTATAGGGACTACAAGTGGCTAAAACAGAAAAGGAAAACTATTTTAAAATATTTTAGGGGCTTGTAACTTATTTTTTGTAGTCCAGAAGTACCTGTTGTTACTTTTGTCTCACAGACGTTCTTAGTATGGATTTGAGATGGATTTTTTCTTAAAAACCTGTCCTATCTGCTGAGCTATATGACTATATGACCTACATAGCTCATCCCTTTAATAAGATTTACAAACCCCAAATTCCAATTTACATTTGCCAAGGAAAGTGTACCATATCAGTCACAAAACCTCTAGTGTTTTCAGTTTTCCCAGACATAAAGTTGACTTTAAACTACTCCTACATTTCCATGAAAAACATACAAGTGCAAACATCAAACTCAGCGGGATCGCCTTTGTTCGTGGGCTGCACACTGGGTGGTGCCTGCCACATCAGATGCCAGGTTTCAGCAAACTGCAATGCTGTGTTTCTAAGCAGTTCTGACATAGACTTGCTGTGATAAAACTTCTGATAGTCTTGACAAAATATGTTGCCCACCTGACGGCGCCCGTCTGCTCTGAGGGCATACTAGTTTAGATGAATATAAAGAAGCAAAGACGCCAGCACAATGGAGCACCATATTTGAAACCATTTTCAAACCAGGAGAAGTCACACTCCATACAAGTGAGCCAATGCTGATTTTCTATGGGCAAAGACAAGACTCTAAATCATCACAGTTTGATTCCAGTATAAAATATTCTAGGATAATGCAAATATTGTGGTTTTATTAATTATACATTTCCTTTGTAAACCCTTAATCTATCATTGTACCAATATTTTCACAGTGCTCAGTATTTCATAAGAAAATAAACTTGATATTATCCAGAAAGTTAAAAAGTGACCTGCAACCAAACTGTAAATACCCTAAAATATTTATGGCCCACTAGAGATTCAAAATATGATTTTGTATTTGTTCTTTCTGCATGTCATATCTCTAAAAAAAAATCTTATCCTCTTTGTGTGGCTTTTACTACTACTGTCTTATCGGCCAAGCAACAAAACAACATTCAACACACTGCAGAAGAATGTTGCATCAAGCAGATATCTCCACCTTTCATCTATGTTATCCTCAGAGCTGCCGGCCATATTCGATATGGATTAAACCTCAGACATGATTGCCATTTAGAGAGGCAAATAGGCCGAGTTTAATCCTTATCTGCAAGCTTGGCCCTCGGCAAAGTAAAATAAGATAACGTCTGCTGCGTTGCTGTTGATGGGTGAAATGCAATTAAGACTTTAGCATGTATGAATAACACAACAAAGCAACAGTAAAACATGGGATTTTGTAAAAGCTGGATACAGGAAAATCTTTTCATTATGGCTGTGGACAAAATGTACAGACAATTGAAAGAACAAATCAAGCTATTCTAATTTTGTTTAAACCAAAATGGAAGCCACAAGTTAATACCGGTATTATACAGTAAGCACAAGAGGAAATTGTTGAAGCACAATATACATTATATGTAATATTCATCTAGTTTTTACAGCTTCCATCAACACTCAACTCATGTAAGCAACAGGGCAGCTTAGTGGTTAGCACTATCGCCTCACAGCAAGGAAGTCTTTCGGTTCCATCCCCGGTTTGGATCTGGAGTCTTTCTGTGTAAAGTTTGCATGTTTTCGTGTTTGCATGAGTTTTCTCTGGGTACGTTGGTTTCCTTAAAGTTTGCATGTTTTCGTGTTTGCATGAGTTTTCTCTGGGTACGTTGGTTTCCTCCCACAGTGCAAAACATGCATACAAGACTGCCTTGCAAAATAGATCTATGATTTCAATGGGATTTGCCTGGTTAAATAGAGGTTAATAATAAACAAATTAAATCCACATTTCATCTCTCGGCTGAACTGGAAGTACTGACTTGTAACAAGAGTCATGCATAACTGTGCATGGGCACAGTTAAAGTAAGTGCCTAGCCTATACCACTTTCTTATTGCCATCCACAGTGAAAGGCAGGTGATTGTATAAATGTATATGTCTGTGTCTGTATGTTTACTGGTTTCTGTTAGCAAAATATGTCATGAGCCAGTGGATGACATTTAATTTGACTCAAAAGGATAGTCAATAAATGCTTAAATTTTAGAGTCAAACTGGGTCAAGCTGGCCACCGCAACAAAGTGACTAATGAACACCAACATGACTGTAATTCTACTAATGTAATTCAATTCATGCAGTCTGAGCAAATTATTTGATTGTTTAAAATGATGGAATGCAAAGTCTAGGGGCTATAAGCAACACTACTTTCACTGTTAATGCACTTGTGCTGACAGTGTTTGTTGGTCAGAAAAATTCTACCAAAAATAACAACAGAGAAGAGTGATTGATAAAAGGGTGAAATCAGTGAAATCATTTTTCACTGGATTAATTTTTTTCCCCGAATAATAATAAATATGGTCTTCAGAGTCTATGCATCTTATAAGAACACGTAAAGATCACAGCAAATCTTTATAACCTCCCCTTAATGTGACAACAATCAAGGCACTTCAATGCGCTTGTCTCTTACAGATTAGGTTTTTGATGCCATTGTACCCATACAGATGTTCTCCTTTAACCCAAAATGCTCTGTAAGCTGCTTGAGATCAACTGTCTTGGATCATATCAGGATGCTGCTATGGGTATCACATTTGTGTTAAGTTCTTTGCATGACCATGTCACAATCATGGTTTAAGCCTAGGCAAGAGATCAGTACGGCCAGTTCTTTATATTCTCAATGACCAAGCCTGGTGCGCTTAGGCCCCATGCGGATATATTGCCCCATGCTCCAAACATGACCCTGATACACTGCCACCAAGATGATACAGTACCATAACCTTGCTGCGGAAGTACAGTGCATGCTCAAAATAATAATCAGAGCACACAACCTTTCAATACAAAACCGTAACACCTCACCAAGATCCTGCAAAGACTTTCACACTCTGGCAGATTTTATTTTGTTGTAGCAGGGTCATAACTAAGTGTAAAGGGAGCTTTTGAAACATGAAGAAAATTCACAAAACAGCACCAACGCAACTAGATGCAGAAAACTACAGAATAAAATATCCACCAGAAAAACAAACAATAATGAATAGTTTCCTTCAGTTGCCTCAGCAAAATGCACTTCTAAAGATCACATTCCCCTCATACACATAAGTTCCTTTTACCATGGAAAAATGGTTCCTTCCTTATATAAAAAGAGTACAAGCACTTAAAGGATATATGTAAATAACATTTAAAAGGTGAAAACAAGATGAGAGAATCTGGTGTTACATTCATAGGTTGGTAGATAAAGTCTTCAGAATTCAGATGGAAGCTCATAGATGAGTCCAGCACAGTGACATTACAGTTTACCTGGTTCGAGTACCGCATGCTGACATTGCGCTGATCCTGCCGCGGCACATATCGATGAATGGGATCAATGTCTTTAGGGCTGATTAGTTCATCCACTGGAAAAGTAACGGACATAAAAATACATCCACATAAATGCAAGCATAACAATTAAATACACTTCAATAGACATAATAAAAAGGTACAAAAATAACTAATACACAAATGCACAAAATTAATCAAGCTGTGTACTTAAAACTTCAGGAATTGAAGAACACACACACTACTGTCTATGACTGACTTAAACATACCTAAAAGCTTGGCAATATTATACAGAGCTTGACCCCATAAGAACATCTTTCCGTCACGGCCTGAGTTGCTTGGGAAACGCTTCTGGCTCCCATGTTTGTTCTGCTCAGCCTCCACAAAGTCAGCCGGTACATAGTAGTATTTGGGAATCACAACATGACCTGGAAAAAGAAAAGAGTGTTCATATAGACTTCTTCTTTCTATGTGTCTGTCTGAGTAAAAACAAATTTTCATGAATCAGAGATTATAAAAACTGTCTATATGGGGTCTCCACTGGTGAAACACAGAAGGCTACAGCAGTTTCACCCACAACTTCAGCTTCAAATAGTAATTTCTGAATCCATTTAGTATTTGAAAGGAACATCTTAACACCTTGGCAAGCACAGACACAAAAATTGACCTGTATTACGGGCTCTTTCAATAGTTTCACTAATGGTACCAATTTTCTTCTTTACCCACTTGCCTAAGAATTTTATCTTAAAAAACAGTAGGCTACTGAAACTTTTTTTATCAAAACCTGCAATTACCAGGATGATTTACGTTTACCAGACTGGGGTAGTAATTAGTGCTAATCAGAAATTCTTATACTGATAAATGGAAAGCCTGGCATGGATGAGTGAACAAAACTCTATCCCTGAAAGTTTCTAAGTATGTTTCACAGGAGAGCTGCAGAACATACTTCTGCAATATTCAGTCAGTTCCTGCAGTAATCTTTGTCAACTTCTTGGTAACATCTCTGATAAAGAATAAAATAAGTCCATGCATGATACAGAAGGTGATTCTGTGGAGTGTGCTGACAGGAAACCCAGATAGAAGCAGAGCTGTATGATACTTTGAATTCAAGGTCAGTTTGTTGTCAACAGTGGGACGAAACTGTATTTCTCCAGGCCGGAATAATGAGACAATAAATTAATTCTCTCTTTAACTGCACACAGTAATATACTTGGTTAAAATGTCAATGCTAAAAACATTAACCGTCACAAATATGGGTCTATCTCTAGTAAAACAGTTTTCTCGGTGTTGGTTTTACATCATGTCCTGCCTCCTGAAAGCTCCATCAATGTGCCACTCCAGATTATCATCAGTTCTAAGTGGAGCCGAGTGGAGAATCTCCTGCTGTAAATCACAAATGCACATGGGCAACCGAGGAGTCATTCTTGACCTGATTCTGAAAAAGAAAATTCTACATTTTTATGTTCAATCTCAAATCCAAATCTAAGGCAATGCTCCTCAGTGGAAAAAGGGTAGATTTCCCTTTCTGCATTGGGAGTGAGGTGCTGCCTTAAGAGGTGGAGTTCAAGTATCTTAGCATTTTGTTCACAAGTGAGTGAAGAATGGAGCTCGAAAATGACAGACAGATTGGTACAGCTTGCACAGTATTGCAGACTCTGTGTCGGTCCATAGTGGTGAAGAGGGACCTGAGCTGCAAGATGAAACTCTCAACATCATCCACGTTCCTAAAGGTGAAACCAGTGGTGTAGTCTACATTTTTGTAGCGAGTATACTGTGCTTAGAAACCCAAGTACACTGGTTAGTACAATGTAATTGTCAAATTATTTAGATTTTTAAGCATATTGAACATTTCCAAATTTCTCTGATGTTTGTATTTGAATAAATGTACAACAAATGTTGTACAACAGTTGTCTTTGTATTAAAACCATGTTACAGAATTTATAAAACAGTATCAAAGCAAAACATGTTCAAGTGTAAGTACAGAATTATGGTATACAATAATTTTCTAGGTAAGCAAATATAATAAACAAACGTTGCATACCAGTAGATTGTTACGGAAGCGTTTAACTGCCATTCAACATATCAATGGCACGTGCCTAATGATATGTCATGTATCATTGGGCACTTTTAAGTGGGTATACTGAAATTCTTAAACTTTTCTGGTGGGTATACTCCATATACCTGCATATTGCGTAGACTACACCACTGACTCTACCCAGATCTGCACTACTTTTCAGAATTCATGTCGTACCATATGTTAGTCAGTGCAGTGAAGACTTTTAATGTATACCAGTCGGTCTACGTTCATATCCTCACCTATTGTCACAAACTTTGGGTAGTGAGCAAAAGGACGAGATCGTAAATACAAGTGGTTGAAATTAGCAGGGTGGCTGAACTCTCACTTAGTGATAGGGTGAGAAGTTAATTTATGTATCTGGGAGAAACTCTGAACAGAGTTGCTGCTCCTCCACAATGAAAAGAGCCAGTTGAGGTGGTTCAGACATCTAGTAAAGTTGCCACCTGGATGCCTCCTTAGAGAGGTTTTTCAGGCATGTCCAACTGGGTAGAGACCTCAGGGAAGAAGTCAAGTCAAGTCACATTTATTTATATAGCACATTTAAAACAGTAACTGTTATCAAAGTGCTTACCAAAAAAGATCACAGCATCAAATATTAATAACAACATATTACAGCAACCTGAATAAAAGCATAAAAACATGAAATATAATGAGAAACAATCAAATACTAAATCAAATCATCCTGTGTTAAATGTCAGGGAGTAAAAGCAAAATGGATATACACAATCATCAACAACAAAATACCAAATGAGATCACACTGTGTTAAATGCCAATGAGTACAGATGTGTTTTGAGGAGAGATTTAAAAATAGAGACTGAGGTGGCCTGTCGAATGTTGATGGGCAGATTATTCCAGAGTTTAGGGCCCATGACTGAAAACGCTCGATCTCCTCTGAGCTTCAGTCTGGTTTTAGGTACGGCCAAAAGCAGCTGGTCTGATGATCTCAAGGCCCGAGAAGGAGCATAAGGATGAAGGAGGTCGGAGAGGTATGAGGGTGCAAGGCCATTAACACACTTAAATGTCAGCAGAAGAATCTTAAAATCAACTCACAGGAAGCCAGTGAAGAGAGGACAGAACTGGAGTAATGTGCTTAAACCTGCGAGTTCCTGTTCGTAGCCGAGCTGCAGCATTTTGGACAAGATGGAGACGTGAGAGAGAGACCTGACTGACCCCAGCATAAAGCGAGTTACAGTAGTCCAGCCGGGTTGTAATAAATGCATGGACTAATTTTTCCAGGTCGGACTTGAGCTAATCTATCTGCCCAGAACATGCTGGAGAGACTGTCTCTCAACTGGCCTGGGAACACCTTGGAATCCTCCCAGAAAAGCTGGAAGAGTTGCGGAAAGAGATGTCGATGTCTCTCTGCTCAAGTTGCCATCCCAACGATTCAGTGGACGGATGATCATGTTCAAACTCTACATTCGGCTCCAAGGCATAATTGACTGCAAGATGACAGTCATGGTTCTGATTAACTGTGGTTGAACACTGAATCTGTTTAGTTTAAAACTAATGTAACATGCCAACTAAAAATATGATAAAGTTTAGCAGAAACATTGTTTAACATAATATCACATTTATTTTTGTCAGAATCATTTTATTTTGGTCAGGTGCAAAATACACAGCACTTATAGTTTAAAAATGTGCGCTTTACTTTGCCTCTTATATATGTAAGCAAAGACAATTGACGTGGCTCTAAATTTAGTTTTATTAGGAAACATAATTTAGTCCAGTTTCAGAAACAGGAGTTAAAAACCTCTGTTTTATCTGATAGTACAACTGAAGTAGGTGTTTACTGTATGCCACAGTATAGCAGCATGTTGCAGAAGCTTCACTGTTATCAGCCGGAGCCCATTACTGCTTCTGACAGCCACAAATACATTCATGGCACTTGACTTTTCATTAGCAATATTAGTGGAAGAAAAAATAAATAAATAAACTATGCCATTGTGTTATCCTCTAAAGTCCAACCAATTAACTGGAGGAATTCTGTTAATTCATACAGAACGAGTACAAAGGCTCTATGGAGACAACTTGGGCAACTAACGTCTCACATCATTATCCTCTCTGCACTCCAATTATTCCTGTTCTATTGTGCATGGGCCAAAAATAAAGTCCAAGTTCTTGACACCCGTATTATTTGACTGTCTCCTCTCACAGCAACGACAGTAGGCGAATATAAACACGTCTTTTTGCCTTATGAGGTAAGGTTGAGTTCATTACAATGTACGCCCTTGTGAGCCGCCATCACAATACGTGGTGTGTGAATATGTATATCAGGATTTAATAAGAGAAAGTTTTTCATCACCAAGGGGGAGAGGGAGAAGGAGAGGGAGAGGGGGAGAGAGAGGACGGAAGCAAATTGAACCACACCGATATTACAAACGAGACAGTTTTAGTGCGTGTGTGTGTGTGTGTGTGTGTGTTTCAGATTGCCCTTCACTCAGCAGCTGCTAAATCCGTGTGTATTGATGTGATAACTCACCCTCATAAGACCGGAAAATGATGGGTTCAAGGAGGTCTTGGTATTCTTTGACCTGTGCCTTATTCCCTCTGAACACCCCTGCAACAAACACACACACACACACACACACACACACACACACACACACA